GGTAATTATTGAGTTTTTTTTTATTTTTTCCCTAAAGAAAATGGTGGAGTCCATTTTCCTGGAGATGATCAGGAAATGATGTGGCACTTAATGCCATGACATAGTTGACAAGCTGCTGATCAGTCAGAGGTTGATGTGCTTGGAGATCATTTTCAACCTTAATTATATGCTTCAATCACTTTGCATCACAGGTTTCCATTGCAGGAAACTGGAATCTTCAGTCTTGAAGCTCCCTAATATTGCATCCAGATATTACTAAAATTGATGCCATTAAAACACCTTGTTCTGTCCTTCCCTGCTACCAAAAAACAACAGAGAAGCTGGGCAAGATGACTTTTGATGAGAACAGTAGAAATTAAGTTGCTTAAGTCCTGTAGCCTTCTGGAAACCAACTTTGCAGTTTCTTGGTGTGTTACTGATAGAACCATACCACAAAGTAGAATTTATTTTTTTTTTTTTTATGCTGGGACTTGAAAGATGCCGAGTCCTGTCTGCTTTCCCTTCCTGTTGGGAGAATGGGAATAAGATGGTGGGAATGGTGGTTTTCAGTGGAAGGATTTTTGTAGATTGTAACGTTCTTAGCATATTCTGAGAACGTGCTTTCTTTCTGCCAGCTTTCTCTTTCCTAATGATGTCCAAGAGAAGTATTTTTTGGGGGGGGGTTTCACACTTTCCTTCCCCTCCTCCAGAGGGAAATCTTCTGTCAGCAGTAGGTATTGTTGAGTTTTTGATGTTTGTTGTTGTGTTTTATTTTTTCCCTGCACCCTGTTTAGAAAATGCTCTTGGATCTAAGACTCTAAAGCTTCAGGAATCTGCTTAGGGAAGGAATCATTTGCCTTTATTCCCAAGTGAATTAGGCATGGTATTGATGGGCATTTTCAGCAACCTTGTATTTAGGGAGTTGAGCTGGAGGAAGCATATTCCAAAATTATTATGGCATTGCTGTAGTTCAGTAGTGGAATAAGTGGAATTTGAGTGGAATAAGAAATCTCCATCCTGGCTTGCATTACTTTCCAGTAAAAAAATGTATTATTTAGGTATAATGTGTAGTAGGTGGCTAAGGAGAGCAGCACGTGATGGTGTGAGCCTTACAGCCAGAATTTTAAACTTCAGAAATATTCATTGTAACAGAGACTGCAGTGACAGTATTTTGTGAATAATCAAGCTGGATGTTTCAGAGAGTTTTTCTCCCTCTTGGATGATTGTTTATCTTCTTGCTGCCTGTGGGATGCCTTCTGAGGTTCTATTAGTCTTGCCCAAGGAAACTGAAAACTTTGGCTGCCCAGACTGCAGTGAACTGCTGACACTTTCTGAGAGTTTCATTCCTTTGGCTGTTACACAGTAAAACAGGAAGAACAAGACATCTTTTGATCTATTTGTAATTTCCAGCTAGCAGGGAGATGTTTCTAAAACTCCATGTGAAATCCTCAAAAGAACTTGTTCCGTGAAAGCGTCAATTTTTGAAATAAAAAGCAAACTACAAGCAGACATCTAGATAGTAGAATTTGGGTTGAGCTGGGTTAGTAGTGAAAAGTTTGAATTATAAAAGTTCTAGATTTGAATATAAAAATGCCTAAATTCTTGGTTCAAACTGCAATTAAATCGTTTCTCTCACCTCGTTACAGAGGTGTACAAATAACTTCTGTTCCTCGTGACTGATACGTGTGTATGTATATCTAAAAATATGCATATATTAAATATATATAAATATATATTTCCATATATAAAAGATATATTTATATATAAAAATAGGCTAAAATATATATTATATATATAATACATATTTTTATATAGATTTTTTTTTAATATACAAGAAAGAACTCCTACAATTTAGAACTTGTGTAAGGGTTATTTTTGGGACTGGGATTTTAAGGAATTCCAGATTCCTTATGATTTTTGTATTTCTTATTGACAGCCCGGTTCGTTGCCCAGTCTCGTACATGCTCGTGGTCATGCTGCCACTTCTCTGCCATCTGTGGAACCATGTGGGGCTCCAAAAGCAAACTTGTAGCCAGGAGCAGGCTGTTCCTGTGGGATCAGTTCTGCTGTTTCTGTTTCCTCTGCCCTTTGGAAGAACAAGGGCCAGGAGCAAGGCCTGTCAATGCACCTTTGGTGAGGCTCTGGGTTTAGTTCTGAGCCTGCAAGGGAATTGTGAGTTTCTAATCTGAGCCTGGATTTAGTGCTCTCATTCAGTTCATCTGAGCTTCCCCAAAGGCTTGCACACAATAAGTGCATTGTCAGAGGGAGGGAAGGTCAGCTGCCTGCAGTCCCTTGCTACTGAAAGAGCTGACTGGAAAGGTTGGCAGCCTTTGATCTCACAGCATTGATGCCTCAGGGACCTGCTGCAGACAGAGTATCCACTGCTTGCATGTAAAATTTAATGGGCAGGCTGCAAAGGGAAAGACTTCCTTTTCCTTGTGTTCTCCACTTCTAACTCACAAGTGGTTTAAGCACAGTTTTGTATGTCATGTTCTATTAATGACCTGAATTGAAGATGGATTGTGGCTAGGACCAAACAATCAATAATTAGTGAGGCTTGGTCTACAGAGGTGTCAATGCAAGGATGAAAGCCAAGTCAGTTCTGTAACCTGGTCTAGTGAAAAGTGTCCCTGCCTACAGCAGGGGCTGGGAATGAGATGGTCTTAAATATCCCTTTCAACCCAAACCGTTCTATGATTCTGTGTGTCAACATGTGCTGTATTTTAACAGATCATCCTCTTACTAGGTAGAAAAAAAATTTCAACCCTTGATTGGCAAGTCATGAGTTTAAAGGTTCCTGATAGTATCTGGGTATTATTTTGTACAAGTTATTTTCTCTTGTTTTATTTTAAAACAATTTTAACAAGGGGAGGATTGATAATTTGAATACTTAAAATACAATTTTAAGTGTGTCTCATTTGAAGGCACTAACTGAAAAGGCAGTTCTGAAAGATGGTTCTGAGCAGTCTTGGGCAGAGGCTGTTCTTATATGGTTCTTGTATTTTACGAATGAAATGATTTGTCTGTTGGGATTGATTCTTAGTGTTGTGCTCCTCCTTAAGTCTGAGACCTGCATTGGAATCATGAACTATTGCTACTTCTATAGCGTTTTTCTACTTGAACAGTGCTAAATATTTTTTGTGCATTAATGCTGGAGCTGTAAGGAAAATACACTTGCTCTCTCTAAAGTAATACCGAGTATTTTTAATTTTCCAAAAACTAATGAGTGACATGACCTTTTGCAGAAACAAGGCTATTCTCCCAGTAGGTATGCTGCATCATTTTTTTTATTGGTCAATAGTGCCTTAAAATGTAGAACAAGTTGTTTGCAAGGTCTTGTAATATGCAAAAGTGTACTATTAATATTGGGAGATATACTGCCAAGGACTTGGAACATAAGTTGTATGTAAATGTTTTCTGAACTTGAAGATTTTAAATAAGTTTAGATTATACCGAGTGCTGCTTTTTAAATGAAGCTATTTCACACCTCGCTGTTGTTTGGAATTTTCATACTAGGTTTCATCACCACTTGGAGTTTGGCTGAAACAGTAATGAATTAGGTGATTTTTGGCTTTTTGTTTATTTCAGAGTTCACTTTCAGTTCTTTACTGAAATAGGCATAGAGGAGGAAATGCAGTGTGTTTTTTTTTTTTTTTGGCAGCTTGAAGGCAAACTCATGTGGCTGAATTTCTGCTGTGATGCATTTGGCTCCTGTGATACAGTAACATTTCTCAAAAGTATAAGGAGTAAGGCAGCAAAGAATCAAGAAAATTTTTATCTTAGGGATTTTATAACCACCTGTACTCATTTTTAAATGTAAGAGCAGACTGACAACATGATTACTTCAGTGGACTTGAAGCAAGGTCATAAATTGTTTCCCATAAGTAAGTTGTAACCAATTACATTGTACTAGATAGTGGTTCATATGAGCCTTTTGGATATGCTGGTCTCTTTAGATCAGAGTTAATTTTGGTCAGCTGAAAATAATGAGATACTGCTCAGTGTGAACAAACTTTAGCTTTTATGTCTGTAGCTCAAATCGTGGAGCCATGGAGATTTTCAGTGACTGTCCAGCACCAGAGAGAATGTGTTTCAAGTGTCCTTAACTTTCAAAGTGAATAGAATGATTTATCAAATAACATAGCATCGGGACATGGGATTGATTTGATCGATTTGCATGTGTAAAGATTTATAAAACTGTGGTGTGATTACTATACCAATATGCCTGAGAAGTGATCAGACTATGTGGATTAACCATAACTATGTCTTTGGTATTGAATTATTGGTACAAATATTAGAATTCCTATTCCAGAGCTGTATAGAGATTACTAAAGCATAAATATAGTTAGTTAATGCCTCACAACTTCCCTGTGAGGGTGGTGAGGCCCTGGCACAGGCTGCTGTGGCTGCTCCATCCCTGGAAGAGTCCTATGTCCTAGGCCAGGTTGGATGGGAACTGGAGCAGCCTGGGACAGTGGAAGCTGTTGGGGTTGGAACTGGAGGACCGTTGAGGTCCCTTCCAACCCAGGCCATTCTATGATTCTGTGATAATATATACTTACAACCTAATTGTGAGGTGTTAGTATATAAATACACACTCTGTATGTGATACTTTTCTAGCTTGAGGTGGGGCAAGGTGTGCTCTTGGAGATGGAGAGAAGGGCAGCACACAATTCATTACCTTCCTTCCCACACCAACAATGGAATTTCACCTGTGGGCACCAGTGAGTAACCTGCAGGATGCCCTAAGACCAGTTTAGGAGCAGAAATAGGGCAGCAGGTGTCAGCTCCTCCTGGCACCAAAGCAGTTCCCTCAGGTGGTGGTGTCAGTGCTGCTCAGAATTCCAGAGAGGAACAGGATTAGTCCTGCAGCCAGGATTCATGGTTCAAAGGATGGCAGGTAGGCAGCAAAATGTGCTCATGGAATCCTCCTCACACAGCCAGGGAGGGACACAGGTTGTGCCTCAGCAGGCCTGTGAGTCTGAACCTGATCCTAATTTGTATCTTCTGTGTCTTTTCAGGGTGTTGATGATGCCTTCTACACATTAGTTCGAGAAATCAGAAAACATAAAGAGAAGATGAGCAAAGATGGTAAAAAGAAGAAAAAGAAGACAAAGACAAAGTGTATAATTATGTAAATACAATTTATCCTTATTCTTAAGAAGTACTGAAGTAATTTTGTACATTACACTAAATTATTAGCATTTGTTTTAGCATTACTTTACTTTCTGCTTCATGATCCTGTTAGCTTTACCTGAATGCTTGTTTTAAATGACAGTGGAAACTTCATTCCTCTTAAAGTGCCAGTATTCTTTGACTGTTGGTTCTTGAACTAGCATTGCCTATGAAAAGAAAAAAAAAAAAAACAACAAAACCCCAAAACAAACAAAAAAAACCCACAAAAAAAACCTGAGAACTAGGACTCTTTGGTGCATGCACAGTTGCTAACTTCCTATTTTTCTTACTGATTGTGAACTTCTGTGTGCAAAGCAAACAAATGATGCTCTACACATTTTAACATCCCCTCTGAATTTTTGGGTTTATAAATTTGGTTGGGAAAAAGGATTATTTAGCAAAAGAAACTTTCATTTCAGCCTTTCCTTTATTTTAGACTAATTGCAATAGAGACCAGAAGCCTTTATAGTCTTCCTGTAGATTTTGCTTCTAGGCATCTAGTCTTGTAGCATTTCAGATCAACTTTAATGAATGTAAAGAGAAAACTTTCAAAAAAATTTCACTGCAATTTGTCACAGTCACTTCTTAAATACTCTATTTTTTCTATAAAAAATTAAAAAAAAAAGAAAAAATCTAAAAAGACAACAATGCACACCTGGCAATGGAAAAAGTAAAAGTTCTAATTAGGTTGATTTGCTATTGTAAATGCATTGCTTGAAGAACTTCACTGACTTTTTGTGTCTGAAGAGCAAGGTGAAATCCCCCTGTGTTAAAGCTTTGAGTAGGGTCAGGATTTCACCCTGAGTGTCCCTAGGAAATACTAGAATGCCTTAACAGAGAAGTTGATTCAAATTCTTACGTTAATTCATACTTGGACCCAGAGTTCACTGTAAGAATTAAATCAAAATCAGTCCTAAATTACATAGTGGAATAAAATCATTCCTTTTTTCCCCCCCAAGAATGGCACTAAAGATGCCCATTTTGTGCAAAATAGGGGAGAAATTCTAAATTCTAGCAACAGCCAATGAGCGAATGAAAGAGATGAATTTAGCTGCTTCATGGAAATAATTTGGTAATTCACTATGCCATGGAAATGGTGTGGAATTTGCACAATCTGTCAGCATAGAACATGATTTCCAGAGTCAGTGTTGTTTGCGTGATGTCTGTGAAGTACTGATTAAATGGTTGGTGAGTGGCATTCCAGTGTCTAGACTGTCATGAAGCTATACCAAGAGTTTAATGTTGTCTTTCTCTGTGATTAAGTTCTCTTGTGATTTTTGTTCTTCTCTTCCCCCACTTTTTTTGTT